TATATATATAAAATTTGGGCCTGGACTAGCTGTGTCTTCAGGCTGGCCTTGAATGTACTAAAATCCTCCTGCATCGGCCTCCTGAGTGCTGGGCTCACAGGATTTGCTGAACAACTGCTTTGGGGCAGGTTTTCTTTCCCCTCTCCCCCTTAGGATTGCATTTGGGCCTCCCTCTATTCCCCCCGGGAGGTCAGCCCTCCCAGCCCCATCATCCTGTCCTGGAAAGGGGCCACACACCGAGGTCCCTGCAAAGGAGGGCTTTCAGCACAGCTGGCTCCATTGCCTGGTAGGAGGTCAGACCTACCTCAGACCTCCAACAGAGCAAAACAGCCCACGAACTGAAAGTTAGCTGGTTACAGAACCACATCCCTACAGTAAAAGTTTCTACCTTCAGACTGGTTTGTTTGTTTTGTGGAGCCAGGGACTGAATTCAGGCCCTTGCACTTGCCAGGCAAGCGCTTATTCTACTGAGCCATCATCTCCCTCGCCCCATTCGCTGGTTAGAGAGAGGTGCTGCGTGCCTGGAGTCCCAGCACTCAGGAGGCTGAGGCAGGAGGGTCCCAAGTTAAAGGCCAGCCTGGGCAACATGGCTGGACACTGCTAGAGGGTGGGGAGGTTGCCCAGTGCCAAGGGCCTGTGTTCAATCCACAGTACTACAGTAAAAAAATAGCTGTCTTGAAAGCTGTTTCCAGAGAGGAAGTCACTTGAAGGAGCTTTATTCAAATGAGGTCAGTTAAATGAGGGAAAGGGTACGAGGCACTGTCCGATGGGAAACGCGACTCAAACAGAAAGTGGGGTTAGGGGAATTCGCAGCAGCAGCTCGGAAGGTGCTTACTCTAGCCGGTAACCTCAGCTCTCAGGAGGCTGAGGCAGGAGATCACCGCAGGTTCGAGGCCAGCATGGGCTACAGAGTAAGTTCAGGGCACCAGCCTGCACTACCCAGCAAGGCCCTGTCTCAAAACACAAAAGCAACAAACAAAAGAAAGATGCTAACTCCGGAGCTGCACAATGACTTGAAAAAATAAAAAAACAGAAAAAAGCAAGAGTGGAAAGCCGGAAAGAAGAGAGCGAGCCACACACCGCAGTAGAGAGCGACTCCCATCCCTGCAGGAGCAGAGGCCTTGGCCCGGGCTGCTTCGGTGGAGCTGGGCAGCCCCGAGGCTCACCGGACCCTCCGCCCTCTGAGGGTCAGTGCTCGTGGGGCCTGAGCGCCAGCCTCTACGCTGGCCCAATCACCAGAAATCTTCCTCTTTCTGAGGTCAGTTTTCACTAGGTTTTAAATTTTCTTTTCAATTAAAAAAATATTGGGCTGGCGGGATAGCTCAGCGGTCTCAAGCACCTGCTTAGGCAAGTTTAGGCAGGAGTAGGGGGCTGCAGTTTGAGCCCCGGTACCACACGCCACGCTAGCCCTGCTCTCGGGCAGGCTGAGCTGGCAATAAATAAGTAAGTAAGTAAATAAATAAATAAAAATTCTAAAAATAAAAAAATAGTTACTTTTTTTTCTTTCTTTCTTTTCTTTTCTTTTTAAATGTATTTGGCATAGGGTCTCACTATGCAGCTCAGACTCATAGTGATCTTTCTGTTTTCAGCCTTCTCAGCGCTGCAATTACAAGGCATCCGCCGCCACACCCAGACTCTGTCCCAGGCCCAGCGCAGCATGGCGGGAGCAGGGATGGACCCTGGTCCCTGTGTTGGCCAAAGCAGGTGCTGAACCAGCTGAGTTATCTCGCCGGCCCTGCAGTTTACTTCTTAGTGTTGCTGGGTGTGGTGGAGCAAGCCTGTAATGCCAGAACTCAGGATGCCGAAGCAGGAGGATCGCTGGGTTCCAGGCCAGCCTGAAGCGCATAGCGAGCCCGTCTCAAAAAGCCAAAAAAAAAAAAAAAAAAAAAGTAACAGTGTTAAGCCAGAGACAGTGACACGTGTCTGTAATCCCAGTGACACGTGTCTGTAATCCCAGCACTTTGGGAGGCTGAGGCAGGAAGATGGACAAGTTTGAACCCAGCCAGGAAAAGTGTGTGGCTGAGATCTTGTCTCTAAATTAAAAAATTGCAAAGGGGCAAGAGGCACAGTTCAGTTCAGAGGTCCTGGGTTCAATCCTAAATATGTTAAAAACAAAATAAAAATATGTTTTTAAAAAGCAGCAGGTGGGGAGAACTACCCGCTCGGGCCCCCCTCCTGTCCCTCTCTGACAGGAGCTTTCTTTCTCTCAATGAATATATTCTGCTCATAAAAAAAAAAAGCCGCAGGTATGCATTCATGGTAAAGATTTTTTTAAAGCCCCCTAAGCAAAGAGAAGTTCTAGCATCTTAGATATTTCTAGAAAAATGTTTTGCACATACAAATATGCATGGTACTTAAAAATTAGAAATGAGATCATTTTCTTTTGTACATTTTCCGGAGTCATCTACCTTAAATCATAGAACAGTGGACAGATTTGCTGCAGATGAGTGTCAGGGTGGAGTCCGGCTACTCCGGGGCACAGGAAGAAGAGAAGGCCCTTGTGTCATTTTGGTTTATTTCATTTTACTTCATTTCATTTTGCTTGGTGACCGTGCCTCACTGTTTAGTCCAGGCTGATCTTGAACACCCAGGCCTCGGTCATTTATATTTTAAATACTTTTGTTTGAGTTGTAAAAACATGCACATTATTATTTTTCAGTTATGGAGTTAAAAAATCATAAGGCAAAATGTTTCTGAGCATTCTCCTGCACCAATGCTAAGGAATGCCTCCAAAAATAGCTTTTAAAAAAAATATTCATTTAAAATAGTATTGCATGGGGCTGGGGAGATGGCTCAGTGGAATAAGCACTTGCCTGGCAAGTTCAGGGGCCTGAGTTCAATCCCTGGCTCTGCCAAAAATAAATAAATAAATAAATAAATAAAA